AAAATCTGCAAAATAACTATGTTATGCTAAAAAACAAACTGAACAACTTTTGCCTCAGGGTCACATCGAAATTCTTTACCAAATAAAACATGTTTTTAAATTTTAACTTTGTACTTTTTTGTGCCCCGGGCAGGCAAGTGGTTCCCGGCCACTCTGGTAGCCTAGCTTATTTACGAAATGAAAGGCATTCCATGATGCAGACCCCAAATTCGAATCTCAGGGTCAAGTCGCCACCAGGCGAAAGGAGGCCGAGTCGGCCAGTTTCTTAAAGGCAAATCAGAAAGGCGAAGTCGGGTACACGAGAATTCATGTCCAACAGGTACCCGATCACCAGTCACATCCCATAGGCAAAGGTCACGACTCACGATCAATAGGCAAAAGTCACATCCCATAGGCACGGGTCACGACCAATAGGTGAAAGTGATGTCTCAAAGTCCAAGGGCATATTCCACAGGCAACCGTCATGTCTCATAGACAAAGGCGCACATTCCACGGATGGAAAGTCAGGACTCACAGTCCCGACCAGCAGCACACCAAGGGAATTTCGTGGAGGTACCAGGTGGTACCACATCCCCACTGCTCAAGGTTCTGAAGCAAACAGGGCATCGGCATGTGGTACCAGATCCAAGTCAAGGCCAAAGGAAGCAGGGGCTGGGACCAGTCCAGACCCACTCCAAGTCAATATAAGGACTGGCCAGCCACGTTTCAGACAAGAGGGCTCATTCGTGAGAAGTGTGAAACTGCTGCTGAAGCGCTTGTGCCCCCTATCTGCGAGTGGCATGTGCGAGAGCCCATAGCCTCATTGCTAGTAGTACGAGATAGAGCTGAGTGGTAGCGGATGTATTCAGTGTCAAAATTTTCAAGTATATATATATTGTCCCAAGAATATCAGAGCGCAAATGTGAAAAAAGAGAAAAAAGGAGAAAAGAAAACCAGGGAATATTAATTTCAATTTTTTATCTTCTTCCTTATAACTCCCCCTGTTCAGAACCTCTTGCGATATATATATATATTGTCACAGCCCCTCGTTTGTTGTCCTCTTCTCTCTCTCTGCCTACGGTTTACCGGGCAGTTCTATTTGTGACCAGAGAGAGAGAGAGAGAGAGAGAGAGAGAGAGAGAGAGAGAGAGAGAGAGAGAGAGAGAGAGAGA